TGTAGGCCGCCGATGGCACTTGAAGGAAGCCGCCCTCTCCATAGCACTGGGGCTCGCGGACCTCCAGCTCGAACAGGAGCGAGTTGGCGACCCGCTTGAGCGCCGCCCCTCGCTGCTCCGCGTATTCCATCGCCGCCGCCTCCAGCTGCCCCATGAGCCTCAGCCTCTCGCCTTCGATTGTCCACAGATGCTCGGTAGCATCATGGAGGGCGGCCAGTGGCGATCGCGAGGACGGATCCGGCCGGTTTGCGCTCGGCTCAAAGCAGAGGAGGTTCGTGGCGTAGATGTCGCGCACGAGGGGGCGGAGCGTCGGTGGAAAGGCATACAGCCCCCCGGCAACGGGGTGGAGGCGCAAGATGGCCGCCACCATGGGGCCGTCGTTGGAAAGGTACGCCAACCCGCGCTCGTCGAGAGGGCCCTCGAGCAACACGTGCCTCAGCAGCTTCAAGGTGACCACGTGCCCAAACACCCACGAGTAGCGAGGGATGAGCAGGGCGTGGAGCAAGGCTCCGTACGGCTGGAAGTGCGTCGGGCACCAGCCGGTCGCTCCCACGGGCCCGTCCTTGAGGAACCCTTGCATCCACGGCCGCCGCGGAACTGCCTTGCAAATCGCACATGTGGCAGGGTCGCCACAAGCTCCCGACTCGATCACGAGGTCGATCAGAGCGCCCACGTTTGCCGGAAGCCTCTCCCGCATTACGACGAACTCCTCTGGCTTCAGAGGCGCGTTGCTCCCTTGCGCTGGAGCCTTGCGAAAGTTGCACCACCTCAGCGCAAGAGCTCGCACCGCTGGTCTAAGCTCCGACAGCCCGTTCCTATACTTCCAGGGGCAATCGATTCCCTCCAAGGGCACATCCGAAGGTCGTACTCCGCCCACGCTCAGAGGAGTAAAGCCCCCAGCAACCCTCGGCGCTTTTGGGTCCGGTTCGCAGATGCTGTGCAAGGACGCTTCAGTGCCGGAGTCTCGCATCGCGCTCGAGTTGGCAAAGAAGGTCCCATCGAAGGTGATGACCTTGTCCCGCCCAAAAGCGTACGTAGCCAGCTCAGAGCTCGGCCCCTCCGTTCGCTCTGGCCTCAGGGGGTTGCCAACCATTCGGGCCTCCGCCTCAGCCGCTTCCACCTCGCCCGTGTAGAGGTGCGCGCAATCGACGCGCGAGCACACGTGACGGATCTGAGACCGTGCCGCCAGGTCGTTGAAGGCCTGCATCGCCGAGTCAAACACCCGGTCGTCCAGCCTAGGAACGTTCGGCCCCTCGAGACACCTCGTCGCCATGTCCCCCGCCTCAAAGTTGAGGCTATGGGCCGCCCCCAGGGCCGCCGCAAAGTGATTGCGCAAGAGGAGGCCGTGCGAGATGAGGTTGGTGCCGGAAAAGTTGAAGATACCGTCCTCCTGCAAAGAGAAAGGGCAGTAACCTCAGTTGCGCGTACAAAGTACATCGAATTCTTTGTACTATTCTGTCATGGGCTTCGAACGACAAATTCGCGCTTGCTTTGAGCGTGGTCGGTGAGAATGGCTTGCTCGGTCTTTCGGACTTGGCAGCTTCAGCATGTACCTGCAAAGATGCACAGGCGGCTATCGGAACGATGATGCATGAGTTTCCCGTTCCACGCGGCGTCGCACCCGGTCCGCTACATTTTGAGACCGTTTGGCCCCAAGAGTGTTGCACAATATGCAACAATGCTTGGACCGAACTTCGATGGCCCATGGAACCGCATAAGGGCTTGCCAATCTGCTTAAGTTGTGTAAACTTTGGAATGCACCGCGCGCTCGACTGCTTGACCACAGCAGAGGCCAGAAGAAAGTATCAAATCAAGGACATTTCTTCACTTCAATGGGCTCCTCATCCTTTGGGTTTCGTAAGGACCCGCTTCTATCGAGAGTCGGACCTGCGAGTGCTAGCTGTTCAAGAGCGAGGAGGTCCAATGGGCTTCAATAGTGCTCTGGAAGATCGACGAGCAAAAGCCATCAAGGAACGAAGAGAGAGGCTTGTCAAACATTACCATGACCTAGCAGAGCTCGGAAGATGCTTCCAGACGCAAGCCGTTCTGGCCGGTCTCAATCCAACTGAATGCATGGACCTCAGATTAAAACGCGAAAACCGTGAACAAGAGTTGGAGCGCATCTTTCGCGAGGAGGCAATCCAACAATAATCAATCCTTCGTTGCCTAGTACCGTTGGAGCCTCAACAAGGATTCTGGACCGAAGCAGACTTTTCGCCCATCGTCAAAGCCAAGTACATATTTGACTATCTCAGTAATAATGCGTTGCTACCTTCAGAAGCAGCATACCAACAATACAAGAGGTGCGCACAGAGTCGATGGAGAAATATGTACGGCGATGAAGGAGTTTGGACGCACCTGGCCGTCGTAGGCTACTGAGCAGCATGCCGCCTCGCGTCCGGGAGCGATGCGGCAGACACGCCGGTAGGTGGTGATAGGAAAGCGCGCCCTCGCCGTTGTCAGAGACGCCTTCCTGCTCTCCAGCTGCCATGGACGGCCGCATGGAGAGAGCAACTCGGCGGGCCGTGGAGCGCAAAAGTGCTTTGCTTTGTCCCGCCGTCGCACGCCCTCCTCGCCCCACCGTTCACAAAGGCTCGCGACACTCTCTCCGCCCCGGCTCATGACCGTGTCAATCTTCCGGTGGCTGTGGCCCATGTCGAGCGCCGCCGCCAAGAGACACTCCCAAGGCTCGAGGGTCTTTTGGTGGGTGCACGCAACTCTCGAGTCAGGTCGCCGGCACGCGGGGTCGTTGCAAACCAAGAGCCTCCTCGACTCCGCTTCACGCTCCAGAATCCTCTCTGCCCGCCTCTCAGCGAGGGTTCGCGTAGCCTCGCTCCCGCCTCCATCAATTGCGCGCTCAATCAGGGGCAAGGTTTGCTTTGAGAGCATCTCCAGAAGGTGCCGGCACCGCTCTAAACCCGTGCAGTCGACGCCGCTGCAATGCGCATTCTCTCCCCAGAGCACGCAAACCACGGGCTCTTCTCCAGGGTTGCTAACGACGAACACTTGGAGGTGCGGCCCGCCTTTCCACGCCTCCGCGTCTAGCCCAAAGAGAGCAGCCCCCACGCACCCCCCTTGTTCCAGGGGCAACACCCAAGGCACGCCGCTTGTGACCTCGCGAACAAACGGCCGGCTGTTGTAAAAGGCCGTGAAGATGGCCTCCCTGCCCTGCCACCAGCCGCTCATGAGACGCGTCGCCTCT